GTGCGAAAGAAGTTCAACGTACACACACGCCCAGCGCAGCGCGCTGACCGCTGACACTGCCGCACCTCACAAACACGCACGCACGTGCACACACACATCTCAACCCAAACAGACGGAGGAAGGGGCGTTCCACGATCTCACGACCTCTGGAGGTCACGGTGCATACACGCTGGGTTTTGGCCAGTGGTGGTCCTGACATGGGGGGGGGGGGGGCGCGCACCGCGGCCGGGCGAGCGTCTGGCGGGCAAGGTGCCACTCTTCGAGTTCTCTTTGAGCGGAATTTGATGTTTTGCGTGTTTGAAATCCGCGCTCCCGTCATTGATTTTTTTTTTCCTTCCAACGAGTCGCGCTTGCCTGTTGTAGCGGGAAGGAAAGTTGCCCGTATTGGTGGAGGATTGTGGTGGTGGTGATGGTGGGGGAGGACCGAGTGACTTATGAGGTGATTCTATCCTTCTCTCCCCCTCCTCCCTTTTCCACATCCTCCCTGCCCACATTTTTACCGTGAAAGAAAACATTCGAAAAAAACAAATTTCATAATACTCCGCGGGCAGAGTTGCATCAGCGCAAATAACAAATAGCTAAAGCTCGACACAATGCTTGTTTTCGTTTTAGGGCAGCTTTCTCTGAACGGGTGGCAATTGTGAGGAGATTACTTAATAATTATTCATCATTCATGCTTTTTACCCCGATTCTCTCCGTTTCGAGCGACTTGTATTATTAACGTGATTAATTCATTCACAGTGACCAAGCTGCCAACGCTTTTTGTGCTTCCTTTGTCGGGATCGGTATAAATGCGGTGAACTTTAAGGGTCTCCATTTGTGCCGTAGGAATTGGTTGCTTAGTTTGACGGTTGATGATTAGGAGGGGAATCATTCCCCCCACCCGTTCCACCCACCAACCCCCTCATCCCACCACCCACCGATCCACCCCCCGTCACCCCCGAACCCCACCACCCACTACTCGCCCCCCCATCGACCCAACCCCCCCCATCCCCTAACCCACCACCCACGATTCGAATCATTTCTATATTTTTCTATTTGAAAAAATTATGGTGGCATCGGCGTCGTTATTGAATGACATCATCGTCATCGTTATCAATCGCAATCAGGCCACTGCTGGGTGAGAATCCTCCAGAGGCCGCCGTCACCGCCATTCCACAGATACGAGTCAAAAAGCGTGGGATCTTAACGCGGTCTATTCGGTGCACGCGTTGCGAGTTCGAACGTCGGTATTTTATCGATGGGTCGGTGCGTTCTCACAACCCTAATCGGGGAAAGAAGATGGCAAGCCTTCACGTGCTCTTCCTTATTATGCGATTTAAAAAGAACACGCGACAAAATGTCATCGCTCTGGTGACCGGATGTCTTTAAACGACCTCCCGGTCAAACAAAATGCGATGGCAGCAATGCAAACGGAACCTCCTTGGGCCATCGTGCCATCGCTGTGAATCGCGCAGCTCGACGCGAAACGATTGTCGAGCACCGAACGCGACAACCCTAAGTTATCCCAAGAGCCAACGGGTTTTGGGTCGGTACCACCCGGTGTGTCAAAAGCTTCCGCAGTGTTGTTCACCATGGGCGGTGTCCACCAGATTACCGTGTCAACCATGGGCAGATAGCGCCTGTTTTGTATTCCGCACGATGCTCCGTGCAACATTTGTTTTGTATTCCCGTGGTAACCTTCTTTAATCACTTTTTTTTTATCATGTAAAGCTACCACAGTGCCCTTTCTATTGTGCGTTACTACGATTTAGATAACACACGCGTCGGGGAAACTTATTGGTGGTACCAAGAAGCCGTTTTAGAGCCAACAGCGGTTTACCTCTCCTCCTGCTCTCGTTATTTCTCTGAATGGCATTTGCCGTAAAAAAAAAAATCCGTTTTGCAAAGCAATGCGTTCCCCCCCCCCCCCTCTCCTCTCTCTTTTAACTTCAAGACTGTTTTCCCTCCGCTGCCAAACTCACTTGCTCTCTTGAATCCTTTTGTCGGGAATACTTTGGAATCGTTTTGGGAAAATGCGGGTGAGCTTAGGTGGTCGGTCCGTTTGTGCTAAAAGTGCCCCAAGGAAATGCGTGGTCGGTGCGGGAATTGATAATGGTTCTTTAAATAGTTAGGGGTCTCGTTGAGCCACATACGCCTTCGTTGGCTGCCATGAAATCCGTGTGTGTGTGCGTGTTTATTTTTACTTTTTAATGTTCATTAAAAATATTTTAATGAACATTCAAATGCACACCAGCGCTCCCAAGGGCACAACCGGTGAAAGACGCAGGCAAATATGAAAATATATATACGTTCAAACCAATTGTGTCAGCAGTGTAAACGTAATGTGATCACGGAGATGGCGAGTGCAGGTTCCCCCTCGCTTTACGCACAAAGTAGACGCACACACGGTACACACGCACGGCACACACGGTACACACACACACACGATGCACACACACAGTACACAGAGTAGACACCCACAGAAACAGTGCACACAATGTTGACCGACGTCCGACCGCATGGCAGCATGATTTCAACCCGTATATAGCGAATTCAGGGTAGAAATAGGTTAGCCGCATATACAGCACGAATTCGCACAAACCGAACCCGCATAGACCGAGGGAGACCCGTATGTGTGCGAGTTTGCGGGAGTCTTTCGTGCAATATTCGCTGAGTGGCAAATTTGCTCCGTCACTTGCTACAGTTATCTATCGGGCCCTGTCACGAGCAGTTGGCGTCTTTCAAATGGTCCCTCGTGATCGGCAAAGGACCCCTGAAGGCTTTACGTGATCAAGATTGTACGTCCGACAGAACGACGACCGTTGAGGAGATGGGAGTGATGTGGGCCACTCACGTGCGTCAGTGAGATGGACTTTGGCATTCGAGGACTATTGGGGAGATGGAGGTTGTTTTCCCTTTTTGTTTTTTAAGTATTGCGATTTTTGTCAGCAGGGGAAATCCCTTGAGATGGAACGCCGTCATTTTCAAAGGTGCCCACACAGTGAGTGGGAAGGCCCTTAATTCATGCAAGCAGTGGGTGAGAACTTGGCTGGTGATGATTATTAAAATATGGCATTATCCTTTGTGGACACATTTGTAATATGTTGATTTGAAGCTTTCGTGACTGCAGGAATCCATGCTCTTTGGTTCTTTCGGTAAAGTCACGTAGGTAGAAAATAAAATAAATCACGACGTTTCGGGAGCAAAACACAAGCGTCCATCATCAGGTGGGAAAGCATGGTCTGCTGCTGAGGCAGACTGTTTTAAAAGGTTTGAAATGGGTGTAGCCCAAGGGTCTATATAATATGCTTTCCAATTGCAAATCCTCGTCAGAATATTCCAGAAGGTAACACACTTTAATTCACGTTTTGACAGCCGCTGTTTGTTTAGTTTACGATATAATTTCACATTCACGTGATAAGTTTGCACTCTTTATGTCTTCACCGTGGCATTTGAAAAGCAACGGATGGACCCATGGCTGTCATTGTTGCTTTCGCAAAACCTGCCCGGATGGCCTGAAGTTCGTTCTAAACGAAACTATAAAAATAAACTTTTTATTATTTTTCCAGGTAAGGCCCACTGAACTGTATAGCTCTTTTTCAGAAGCGACCTGACCACAAATGATAGCTCAGCAAAGTGGCTCATCACGTGGACATTTACAGCGGCTGAATACTCTAAACGCGTGACGTTGAATCTAAATGTGTAGGGAAAAACCGGAGGCCCCGGAGAAAAATCCACGCGACCACGGGGAGAGAGACACGCCAACAGCAAATATACAGCAGGCGTCAAGGTCGGGATCGAACCCAGACATCCTGCATACCTGGCGAGGTAGTCAACATCTCGCCACCGAGATGTTAACGTCGGAGTTAAACGTCCTGCCGGAGGGGTGGGGTTTGGCGACGGGCGATCGTTCCGGCACACCCACCGGGGGGCGTGTTCGCCGGACGGGTTTCTTGCTGGATGTGGTCGAGGCAGAAGCCACGTTAACCTCCGCCCCCTGACATTTTGTCTCGATCTCCTCCGTGTCAACCCCGCCGCTGCGCTCCAGGACTGTGCAGCACCGTCCTAGCCGACTCGCCTCCCCCCCCCCCCCCCCCCCCCCCATTCTCCACGCTCTCTCCGGCCCTTGCGGTGTTTGACGGCGCTCGCGTCTTCATCGAACGGTGGAGAAGTTTTTCGCTCGCTCGACGCTCTGTCGTTCGATCGGGTTCCACCCCCCCCCACCCCCCCGACGTCGCTTCCATAACGTTCCTGACCGGCTCATTTCAATCGGCGCCACGGATGGAAACTTAAAATATGTCCGCGTCGCATCCCGCGCGCTGCAATTAGTCGCCGCGTCCTGTTTCGCCTCCGCCAGCCCCGTATCTTCGTTATTGTTTGAAGAATCGACCCCCAAAAATCGATGACCGGTCGATCGGACCGCGGACTCGCGGCGCGATGTTGAGACGAGTCCGTTTCCGAGCTCGCTGGGTCGTCCAGGGTTCAGGGCGGCTGAGCCGCCTTCCGCCGAGAGATCCCGAGTTCGAATCCAGTGGTGACCGGGTCGTCAGTTCGGGTCACCAGTAACTGCACAGAAAAAAAATCCGTCACGTGAAATCTGGCTCTGCTGAATTCCAATTGTGAAAATGTCATTATTGCTTTGATTGTCATGCGATGAACATCGCTGTCGCCTGCAGAGCGGGTTTTGAAAATGCTGCCCACTACTGTACATATGTATTTTTAACTTCTTTCGCACCGTGCGTAGTCAACCGTGCTAATCGGAGGTGCGGCGGAAGGACAACAAACACTAACGGCAAGACGCGGAGGTCACTTGAAAGGATCTCAGAAGGTTCGCTTTGTGGGACCTGCTTCCCCGTGGTCCCTTCTGCAACACGAAGGTTCGCGCTGCGCCGCGCTGCGAGAGATTCGATCGGATGATGTGACTCCGATCGCACAATCGAGGTTGAAACTGGGTAAACACTTTTTTCTTCAAAACTAATTTGTTTTGTTGCTGTGTGTGTGTGTGTTTGTTTCTGTAGATCCTCATCGTTGGGGGTTCCTTTGGCTTGAAGGAATTCGCACAGATTCGATATGACGCCTCCAAAAACAAAGGAAGGGTAAGCGCAATATTAGCTGTAAGATTATTCACTTATTTACGAATGCCCTCCAGATGCATTCCCTAAATGTGCGCACATCTAGAAGGGGGACGATATCACCCTAATCCCATTGAACAAGCATAAACGTGCAATTGTGACACATGCGCGTGTATGGGCGTGCAATCTAGCAAAGGCAAAATTATCCCATGTAGCCTGCACATGCTGTTGGGGCAAGTGCTGTTTGAGTGCACCTTTGAAGGCTTGGCACTGCACGAGCGGGTGGTGTGGGCAATGCCCCACACCTGCCCAGCCACCATACGGCACCAGGTACTTGGTTAAGGCTGAGTAGACCTAGGGGAAACCCAGGACTGGTTAAGATAATCGTCACTGATGTTGGCCGTGAGCGGTAATCGAACTCCGGCCCCTGGGTTTGGTAGCGCACCGCTCCCTCACGCACACACACACACACACAAGTACACGCTCACGCGTGCACGCACACAAGTGCACGCTTACGCGCGCACACACAGAAGCACACGCGCACACACACACAAGTACACGCTCACACACACACACAAGTACACGCTCACACACACACACAAGTGCACGCTCACGTGCACACACACACACAAGTACACGCGCACACACACAAGTACACGCCCAGGCGCACACACACAAGTGCACGCTCACGTGCACACACGAACACAAGTTCACACGCGCGCACAAAAGTCAACGCTCGTGTGTTCCGTCTCTTTGCTCGCAGATGGACCCGAAGTTGGTGGCCAAGCTGAAGGAGAAGGAGTCCGTGAGCCTGGAGAGGGAGTATGAGGTTGGAGGCATTCACTCGCGCATCTTTGCCCTCGTTTTGCTCCTCATTACCCACATTGGCATGCCCCTCATTAGCATAACAGCGGCCGTAGCGGCCCCGTAAAAAACAACAACAAAAACCGCTGCCACATTCACGGCATCGATTCGCGTCGAGCCGGATGCCCCGGCCGTCGTTTTTTTTATTATCATTTGTTTTTGTTGCTTTTGCGGAGCATTACGAATCTGACGAGGCTCCCCGAGCACGCAGCAAGCGCTTGTTTATCGCCGTTTTGGAAACGGGGGACGCCTCCCCTAGGTTGTTGGTGGCGGCTACATCTCTCCGGGGATTAACCCCTGGACTTGACCCCATGATTAGCCAAACGAGGCGGCGCGCGTTTGCCCGCTTGGCCTCATCAGGTGAGGCCAGCGCGGTTAATCGAGTGATTTACGGCCCTCCTCGCGACGCCCTGTCGCTCCTCGGGGGCCCCCTCATCGTCACCGTCACCGCGGGCCTGTGGTCTATCCGCTGCTCGATGAAGGCCTCCCCTAACCGTCGACATTTCTCGTGGTCCTGCGGTGCGACGATTCCTCTGAGCGCCTGCCCCCTGGGCTCACATGGTCGATTTTGTAGCGGTCTAATAATATCCGATTTACTTTGGAAAGTCTCAAATGAATCTCAATTTATCATCATCATCATCGCCCATGATCAATCCACTTCTTCAACCATCGCTTTTCCTCATGGTGCCGCGATGGCTAGCCCTCGAACAAAGACGGTCACCGCATCGCGCGCTTTCAGACGCACTTCTGCGGCCATCTGGAACGCTCTTCCTTTAAATCTTAGGAAGCCACTGGAGCTATGCACTTTTAAATCATCTAGATTAAAAACTAATTCCTTTGTAAACTGCTTCTTGTGTTTAGTTTGTTGACCTTCCCCCGCACCTCCGATTAGCACGGTTGGGTACGGTGCGAAAGAAGTTCAACATACATACATGCAGCCATGCGCCGAAAAGTGTTGTTGTCCGGAAAAGTGGAAGGAACCAGAAAGAGAGGAAGCCCTAACAGAGAATGGCTTGACGATGACGACGTCGGAGATTGGTGCCAAAAAAGACGTGGCCACTGCTTGAGCACACTGGCACCAGACAGGGAGGAAAGTGGAAACAAATGACGAATTGTGCAGTGGACACCCAGTGGGCGATCCTTCCCCATGGATCGTGGCCATGACGACAATGATGACGATGCATCGGCGGTCGAGCCCACTTTCACCGGTCCCCGTCCGGCGGTGGGCGTCCTCTTCCGCCGCGTTACTCGCTTTGGTCGCCGCTCCGTACCTGGCCCCAGCCAGCAGCCCGCGCACAGCGGCAACAACAACAACGGCAACAACAACGGCAACAACAACGGCAACAACAACGACGACGAGGTTCTTCAAGGAGCGTGTCCCGAGCCCGAGAATCGATTTTTAAATCGACGAATCGCCCGCCGTCGTCGTTGCACAACCCAACGGCGGATGTTCTGGCGGTGGTATGAAAGCGTTAGCATTCTGTTCCCCTGTCGCGTGTACATGTTGTTCGTGCGTGCATTAGTGCTCGCCTTCCGGAACCACTCCGGTGTCTTCCCACTTGGCTCACCGAGGCTCAGAGAGGCTCAGCGAGGCTTTCCTGAATAAATAAATTATTGTTTATATTTTTTTATTTATAACCGGCCAAGGGCTCATTGAAAGTAAAGTTTCTCTTGCGGGCGGGGCAGCCTCCGTATTGACGAGCAGTGCTGCTGCTTTTGACAGCGCAAACATTTCAGTGCACGCACGCGCAAAATAAACGAGTGAATGCGGATAGGATTAATAATGAGAGCGCAAGGTGAGATTTCAAACTAAAATATGGTGCAGGGTAACACGTAAAAAAAAATATATATATTTGCTATATATCTACGCATAGCGAACCATGGTCGACTACCGGAAGATTGAAGCCCATTATCAGACCAGGTGCCGCCAGGAACATCTGCCACTGGGAAATCCTCATTTCAATTATTCAACTATGTTTTATTTCACCAGGTAAGACCCACTGAGCTATGTAGTTATTTTTCCAGAAGCAACCCGCCCGCGAATGACAGCTCTACGAAGTTGCTTATCATGTTGAAATGTATAGCAGCAGCCAAATACCCTAAACGCGTGATGTTGATTCTAAATGTGGAGGGAAACACCGGAGGACCCGGAGAGAAATCCACGCGACCACGGGGAGAGAGACACCGCAAACTACAAATATACAGCAACAGGCGTCAGTGTCGGGATTGAACCCAGGGACTCGTGCATGCCAGGCGAGGTAGTTAACATCTGGCCACCGTGGCCTTCTCGGCGACATTTTGTTGCAGCGTTTTGTTGCCGAGCGGATGAGATGCGACGTTGGAGCTCTCCGGGCCGGCCCGGCGTTCGGAGAGTTTGGCACCGCGTCACTCAACGAAATCGTCCCCTCCGTGTGCCGCCGTGTGCAACGTTTGCAGAAGCTGAAGGAGGCAGAAACGGACACATGGGTCAACATCCGTGGACCGCGGCCGTGGGAGGACTCGAGGACGGTGCAGGACTCTCAGCGGAAGGAAATCCAGAAGCAGGCGTGAGAGGGCGCGCACGGAGGAGGAGGGCGGAGGGAGAGTGGCCGCGTCGTTTCCCGCGACCCATCTGCGCGCAGGGGCCGGATTTTACGCGCGGGGGGGCGAACGGGGGACGGTGCCGCGCGTTCGTGTTAACAAAACTCCAGCGGGGGGGGGGGGGGGGGGGACCCCCACGATAAATCGGCAATGCTTGTTTGATCAAGAAAAGTAGGTCTGTTTATTCATGTTATCATTTTAATATGAAATGTATATATACTTGATGGCTTCAATGATAAAATTAAATAAAAAACCGTGTGTTCTCTTGAATCAGTCCGCTGCTGGATGAAGGGCCTCCCCATGCCGCGGCCGGTCGTGGACGTGGAGGTTGTCTGCCTGCCCCGACCACCTTTGTTGGGGTGCGTCCTGGCAGCGAGGGTTGAGGATTGATCGGGGGTTGTATATTTGCGTGTGAGTCAGGGTGGAGAGGTTCTGGGGGGAGTGGGGTATGGTGGCGGGGGTGGATAAATTATTCTCTGTGTAGTGTCATCGAATCGTAGATGACACTACACAGGAGGCACCTTTATTAACACCTTCACAGGTTTGCCCTCGCACTCTACCTAGTCGTCTATCCTGGCCTCAACACAACCCTGACCGTGTAGCACTGATGGCGCTGACCGAGACGGCCAACAACTATCCGGCTGCGCGATATCTCGCGAAGACGGCAGCGACGAAGGCGGCGAAGGCGACAGCGACGACGAGACGAGTCCACTCCCAGAACCGGCAGCCCTGAGTTCCCGCTCTCAGCTGCTTTCATGCCACCCGGCGTGCCGTGGCCACGCCTCCCTTCTCGAACCCGCTCGCGAGTTCCAGGGGCTTCCAGATGGGGTCTTCCATGACCCTTGTCCCAGTTCCTCCGCCCTGCCGACACACACACCCGTGTATATGCTCACCGGCGTGTGTACTATTTGTCCACCCCACTATTACACTACATCTGTTTTCCCCCTGGGGGCAAAGATACCTGAATCCTGCCCCGTTTGCTCGGTTTTGAATCGCTTTTGAACGATTTCGTCATTTTGAGTTTTTGTCGTTGGTGTTGATGCCCAGGCAGCTGAGGATCCTCCGAACAGCAGGTAGCAATCTTTCCGTCATCCAAGGGCACTACGGTAGCGAGATGTTAACTGCCTTGCCTGGTATACAGCAGGTCGTGTGGGTTCGATCCCGACCCTGACGCCTGTATATTTGGAGTTTTTGTGTTCTCCACATTTAGAAACACTCGCGTATTTGGCTGCTGTACATTTCCACACGATAAGCCACTCGATTTAGCCATATCATTTGTGGCCAGGTCGCTTTTGAAAAAGAGCTAACAGCTCACTGGGCCTTGTTGTTAGTTTATAGTTTATCTCGCGGAGAAGACAACGCCACGAACGCGGAGGCTTTGGACCGGCAGAGGCGCCCCCGCCACGTGACCTCACGACCTTTTTCTGCCTCTGCAAGCCGTTCGGCAGAGGGGAGCAACGCCGGTTCCATTCCATCTCCCCGCGTGGCACTTGCAACATTGCTGCAAATCCTGCCTCTAGCCAGCAGTTGGGTAAAGTGTGGGCACCGCCGACGTCTTTCCTAGACACTTGCCCGAATACCCGAGTGGGGCTCTGTCGAACGAATTCGAGGCGGAGGCCCTTTTGGCGGCGGTTGGGTTGAGCAAGACATTGCAGGGCTGCACCTTTTACTGGTTACCTTTATTCATTCTGACAAGTAACCTAAGGGACCTGCACTAACGTCCCCTTTGCGTGGCTTGGAATCCCTTCCAGGCTCTTTGTAACATTTTCCTTTTAAGGTTTTTTTTTTAGTTTAACACGTAGGCTTGCGTGACCAATATCCATAATACAGGTTTGTTTTTTTGGGGTAGATCACGTAAATGTACAAATGTCTCGTTAAACCCGCCATCCCCCCCCCCCCCACTTCACGCAAGAAGAACACACAAGTGTCGTGATCACATCTACCCCTCTATTTAAGGAACGAAGCAGGAGGATATCTCCACTAATCTGGTTGTCGCCTGATGAAGCTTGTTGCAATTACTGGCGAAACGTCGTACTCCGTTTGTTAATGTTGTCGGCTTTGCTCTCCAACACACAACCGGTGTGCAGTACTAGTAAGTAATTGGCACGTTCTGTTTACGTGACAACCCTTGCTAATTGGCGGTGTCGGATGGTGGCGGGTTTAACGACACATTTAGATATTTACGCGATCTAACCCAAAACACCTTTATTATGGATGTTTTTTTTATTAGCGCAAGTCGGCGCATTTTTCATTTCAGGGCATCTCTCTCTTCCCACCCCTCTCCCCCGGTCTTTTGTTTTCATTTTCAACTTGACAATGTCAGTTTCCGCTCACTTTGGCATCTTCTTTTCACGGTGGCCGATGTCACCAAAATGGCGACGTTGAAGAGGAAGGCCGAAGCCTCCCTTGTGTGAACCGCGAATTTTCCAAAAGCGATCTCCAAGAAGGGGTTTCTCACTTTTAACACCTCGACTAATTTCAAGAGTTCAGTTTATTGTTTTAAAACATTTTGAAATTGCCGGACCTCTCAGAGATTACCGTCTTGATGACGTTTTTTTTTAAACGAAAAATGTTAAATAGTTGAAATGAAAAAAAAGAATGTGGCATTTCAAACGTTACCCTTTATCTGAAAAAAAGTAACTGATATAAAACAACGCATTGTGTACTTGAATGCCTAAAGGAAGGATGACTTATTAGCTTCATAAAATATAAATAGGTTGATGTAATTGGCAAAGGGAAGAGAGAATAAGCATTTAGTGTTGGTGCCGATATATCACTAAGCCTTGAGGCTTGTCAGCCAAAATGTTAACATTTTCCATCTGTGTATCCCACATAATCTCATTAAGGAAAAAAACATTTGTGTACGGTCTTATAACAGCCTCGGGTCTGCTGTAGCACAGAGAAATATCTCGTATTATTTTCCACGCCACTAATTCCTGTATTTAGGTGAAATATCGTTCTGACTTGTTATTCGTAACAATGCAGTTGCTGTTATTGTTGTTGTAACAATCGCTTATGCCTCCTTAATTGCGTGTTGGAAAGTACGCAATGAAATCGGTAACTTTGGCTCCGAATAATAATTGTTATTAAGGTGATGGGTTGAGTGTTAGGACTTAACACATTTGCCGGTGGAATAATTGGGTATTCAAGTCGGGAGGTAATTTATCCCTGTGTGGTCATATGCTTGATATTTTCAGGTTCTTTTTTTATTTACTGTTGTTGGCTTGTGACTATGCATAATGATGACTTGTGACTTTGATTGCATAAGCCAAGCAGCTCAAAGCATACTGCTAATGTTGCAAGAAGCAAGCTGTACAATAATTTAAAGACGCAAATGTCGATCTCTGCAGATTAAAACAAAAAATGCCTACGTCCCATTAGCGCGTTGAGTTTTCTGAACCCACGATTTTTCAGCAGCATTTCTTTCAGCAGGCATTCCAAAGATGGATCGGTTTTGATTTTCAGAAGCTCATCACCAGTCTGTCTAATGGATCTTTGTAACACTCCATAATGTGCATGTACAGGCGCTGTGTCAATAAACCGATGGATTGAGCCTTCCCCACGCCTCGTGCGGTGGGTTAATTGACCATACTTCACCACGCCGGTCCGCGCGTGCTGGCGTACGTGGGATGGCACACTGCGGCCGTGCGTTGTGCACGTGTGGGGTTTGGATCGTAGTTGGCAGAGACTGGATGCTGACGAGACTCCAATCCTCGCTCAACCCGTGACTGGAGCCTGGAAGAGATTCCGTGCCGTAAAAAGGGGACAATAGCGAGAGTCCCTTTTTATATGATTTACTTCTTAGAAAAGGTGCGGCCCTGCAATGCCGTGCTCAACCCAACTGCTGCGAGAAGGGCCTCCACTTCCAGAGGCCGCTCGACAGAGCCCCACTCGATCACTCGTCCAAGTATCTTGGAAAGACGTTGGCAGTACCCGCACTTAACCCAACTCGTGGGCAGAGACAGCACTCGCGCCGTTGCTTCAGCTGCCGCGCCGGGAGATCGAAAGGAACCGGGGGCCTCTCCAATGCAAGTCCGGCCAGTGCGGTGCTGACCGTTACAACCACGACCAGCGTCAGCCCAGAATCGTTTTTTGTTTCTTCTCCATTGAAAGTGGCTTATCGGGAGACACCTGCGAGCGTGCCTCCCGCGTTGAGGATTCCTGGAATTCGATAAAGTCACGTAGAATGAGAATAAAATAATAATAAAATAAAACAATAACATTCTCACATCTTCTTTTGGTTCTTTCGGTAAAGTCACGTAGAATGAGAATAAAATAAAACAATAAAATTCTCACAAAGTGTTTGATGACGTAGTTTGGTACAAGATTTACTGCCATTAAATTGACACAAGATAAATATTACAGCTTCACTAGCCGAGCCACTGACGGTGAAAACTTTGGGGGGTGGGGTAGGGGGGTGACGCGTAAATAATTGGCAGCGCCGAGTAATTCCGGCAATCACCTCGGGTCAATACACGCTCGAACGTGCAGACGTCTCGAACCAAACAAACCCAGGGAATGCCCCGTCCGCATTCACGGCGCTCTCCGAATCTCTCTCGTTTACTTCGCCCCGCGATTATTTCACGGAATCATGCCCCGATGCCACGGCGGGCGTTTGCTCAGAGGTGGGGGGGGGGAGGTGGTGGTGGGGGGCTGACACAATTAACGTCGCCGCGTGCGAAAAGTCAAGACGGGCGCCACCCTTTTTTTTCTCACCCGGCGTCTATCGACCGAAGGTTCATTACCGAAATTACCGCAGCCGTCTCCGCCGTTATTCGCCTCTTGCCCGTGGGTGACTCCTCGGCCCTGCCCATAAAGGTGCTCAGCCGGCAGCGGAGAGGGCCTTTTCGTGGCCGTCACCCTCGGTCGCAGCGTTGGAGCACCGCGCTGGAGCAGAGGTGTTTCGTCGTGAAAACGCCAACGGGGCGAACACCAAAAAAAAAGAAAACCCCCCACCGCATTGTTGCATCTTCTCGCGGGCACGCTTTTAACGGTACGAAGATTTTTTTTGCCCGTCCTAGGACGGAAGCCGTAATATTTGCGAAAATTTTTTTAGTACAGTATTATTGTATCTTGTGTGTTAATTTAATGGCAGTGAATCTTGTACGAAAGTACGTCA